TTGGGCACTGTGAGGCTATACTGCCTTATATTTTGATTCCCAGCAATGGGAGGAAAAAAAAAAAACAGCTTATTACCCTTGGCCTTTGAACTTTAGGTCTATAGATAGCATGATTTCAGGAAGGTTGATATAAAGAAAATGGTACAGATTTCAAGAGGGAAGGGATTTTGAAGTCATAGTGAGAGGGCAAAAGTCTACAAGTGGTCATAAGAAAGGAAGGGACTCAGCTGTCCTCCTGGTTCCATGGCACAGAAGAGAGATGACTCTGGCTTTCATCTAGGCTTCTTAACCTGCCATGGAACTATTTTATTTTCCACATTACACCCTCCCCATCCCCGTGACATCTCTATGAGGCTTGAAGGAATTTGAAGACTTTCACAGGAGCCTAGATTTCTGAAAGAGAATAGTTTCCTTTAGGATTGAACAGAAGAGGCATGGGTTTGTATCTTAAAATGACCCTCTTAAGATGTAGACTCAACTCTGAAGCCACCATTAGTAACTGACTAAGCTGTTAAGAGGTAGAAGCACTTAAGTAATGAGTCATGTCTTAGCAATTAGAATGGAATTATTTGTAGGACAGTGCTAAAAATGACCTCATAAAAGATCTTTTGTTTTCTTGGCAATATAATTGACTTCTGTTGTGTGTGTGTGTCTCCACAAACTTGTCTCTGAAGAATAAATAAACACACGTGTCTTATCAAGTTGGGAGTCCGGCTTTTTAAAGAGATTTCTATTTAATAATAACTATCATTTCTCATGCCTAATAGTGGTGCTAAGATAAATACTGATCGAATTTTAAGAGAAACACAATTTGGTTTGAAATAGAATAATATATAAAATTAATCTGGAAACAAATATACTTTCTCTTTTGCAGACCTTAGTAAATATACGCAGACTAGTGTTTTAGTGCTTCCCAGCTTTAAGAGTGTGATTATTGAGGTCTGTTTAATACTTCTAAAGTGAGATTCTGTAACATGGCTATTAGTATTGCTATCAAAAAGCAAACATAACATTAGACATTAAAATATTCACAGGACAATCCCAAAATAAAAATATTAAGTGAGCAGTATATTTAAGAGGATATTAATTGCCAGGAGAGCCAAAATACAACTTTCTTCAAATCTTTGTCTTACTTGGGGCTATAAATGTATGCATAAATGGATATAATGAGAAGTAATTTAACAGGACAAAGAAATCAATTTTTGGAGGCTATAAAGTCTTGAAGTCTCTTTATTCTATAACCTTTTCCTTTTTAAGCAAGGATCGCTGACTTTTGGTCTTTTAAATTCACTTAGTTTTCAGACAGTATGATAATAACCAACTGGGCTGCTCTGAAAATTGGGGACAGTCCAGTCAAAATGAATAAAGTAGTGAAATTGGTCAAACTAAAATTTAACCATAAAATTCAAAAGCATTAGAATAGAAAGTTCCTATATTTACTCTTCTTTATTCCTCTAGATGATAGGATGAGTCTTAGTGTTTTATAATGCTTTTCTAAATGGAGCTTTTCAATGAAGTAAAACTCTAAGAAGCTTAGTAATACCACATAGAAATATTTTTTCCACTCATTCTTTGACAAAGTCATGCATATGAGAGGTTTAATAAATTTTTTTAAATGGCAGGTTTGATCCTGACAATCCAAATTTAAAGGAATACCTCACATAATTATATTTGGGTTAATTGGGGGAAATATTAGCATTTCAATACTCAAATTCAATCTTAACTAGACTTATTGATAAACATAGTAATAACTATAATAATATGATTATGGCTAATATTTTTTGAGCAGTTACTTTGTGTCAAGCACTTTAGTTCTCATACACAGCACCTCAAATAATCACCACCAAAATTCTAGTGAGCAGGTGTTTTATTATTATCTCATTATACCAAGAACCTGCAACCAGAGAGTGACTGTTGTTGGCTGGTTGAACTCCAGAAACTCAAGTTTTTAAACAGCAAATTATAAAGCTTTACTCATATTTTCCTGTGCATTTGACATATATGACTATAGCTAACATAAATGTTCCTAATTTTCTAAATGTTATCATTTTATGTAATAGGATATATGACAATAATTCTAAAGTTATTGAACAAAAACAAATATCAATTTCCTTTTAGTCTTACAATCACAACTTAAGGCTTTGAGAGGATGCATTTATTTTTCATTTGTCAATTAAAAGAGAACTATTTTAGCATTCTATATATAATTGCATTATCTTTAATTAAGTATTGAAGCCAAATTTTCCCTGTACTGAAGCATCTAATTTTAAGGCAATTTGAAAGCAAGAGATCTCCATTTAGCATAGTCCTTCTAGTAATACACATTGCAAATTGAATGAATGACAAAAAAAATATTATGATGACATAAATATTACCTCAAAGGCAAAAATAATTGTATAACTAAGAGTATAGCTCAGTGGTAGAGTACTCACCTAGCATGAAGAAGACCCTGGTTACATCCTCAGCAGCATCACCCCCTACTCCCAAGAAACTCTGCTTCATGACTTCTGTGGGGTGGGGTTGGGGGGACAGTCATGTCCTGGTAAACCTATTGTTAAGTTGAAAATATACTCCTGTGTGTAACCTACTTGTGGTGTAGATATGAATTATCTCTCAAAAGCTCTTGTGGGAGACAATGCATGAATGTTTAGAGATGAAATGATAAGATTTTGAGAGCTGTAACCTGATAAGGATTAACCGGGTGGTAACTTTGGATAGGAAGGGTGTGGCTAGAGAAATAGGTCACTGGAGTGCTTTTGGGGTTTCTATTTTGTCCCTGGTGAGCAGAGTTTTCTCTGTTTCCTGTTTACATGTCCCGAGCTGCCTTCCTCAGTCACACCCTTCCACCATGATGTTCTACCTCACCTCAGGCTCAAAGCAATGGAACCAGATGATCTGGACTCTTAAACATGAGCCCCAACTTTTCTCCTCTAAGTTGCTCTTGTTGGGTGTTTTGGTCACAGGCCTGCAAAAGCTGACTAAAACACTACTGAATTTTGTAGCGTAGCCATAAGAGTATTTCTCATTTAATCTGTGTTGACTGTCATATTGGAGGCTCCTGTTCACTGTTGCCATCTATCGTCACAAGAAAGTATTGTACTGAATATGGAATAAGATAAAAATTCGGAATATGATTTCTACTAAATATATATTCCTTTTGCAGTATTGTAAAGTAAAAAAAAAATCATGTCATACCACCCTAAATTTGGGGCCACCAGTATTAAATAATACTATAGATTGCTGATTTCTAAGTACAGAGTTTATTTTAAAAGGGGTTTGAAGATACTCATTGAAAGAATAACTTGAAGAGAAAGGTAAAATGTGTTCCTAGAGCCAAAATATTCATAATCATTTTCAGCATAGCCATTGAATCATAAAACTAACTACTTAATATTTAGGCATGAGACTTATTGTTCCTTTTTCACATTTTCCTCATATTTACATGTGTATGTGAATTATCACTTATCTTTTTATTTATACATAGTAGATATATTCCTACCACTTTCTTGGTGTGAATCAACAGTTGGTTTTAGAAAGGTTTAGAAAAATCTGTTTGTTTTATTCTTATTGAAGTGTTTTGAAAAACAAAGCTGCCTCCCCCCACCCCCCCACCCCACCCCCCCAAAAAAGCAAAGAGACCAAACTGTTTGGGAGGAGGGAGGAAAACTAGGCAAGCAGTAATCTCCCAATAAATTCTTTCCCAATACCAATGGGCCCTGGAGGAATGGGGAGATACTGAATGCTGGGCTCTGGACTTTGATCTTCCCCTGTTGCAAATTAGTCCTAAATGGAGACACAGTAAATACTAAAATTCTGGGAGACAATGAATCCCGAGAAAGAAAAGCAATGGGCAAAATTTAAGTATTCATCTCTTGGGATCTGGGCTCCCATCTCTCCAAGAAACAATGAGTTTCAACCTTTTTACAACTGCCTTTCTGAGTTAAAGTTTTAAACTACACAACTAGCCCCTGAAGGTCCAAATGGCACATCTACAGTTTCGAATGAAACTACCCTAATTGTACCCTATAAAACTAAAATCCCCTTCTGTAACCCACAGCCATTTTCGCATCCAGAAAATGGGCCCCTGTGATGTCTGAGTCTGTGAATGAATAAACAGCTTCCCTGAATCTGTTGAGGTCTGTATTGGGTTATTTTGCACTTATAAACAGAAAACTACTTTTGATTATTTTTGTTACATTCTTTGTGTAAAGGTTACAGTTTCTTGTGGTTATATTTCTTTATTACTTCTTAAAAATTTTTCTTGGAACTTAAAAACAAAATACATTAATGGACTAGGAAAAATTATGGACATTGCAGTTTTAGCTTTATCTCTTTACCTTCTATATCACACAAAAAATACAACAATAAGGCCTATATTGAAAGATACAACAGATTTTTTTTTTGTGTGTGTGTGTGGTATAAATGTTTTTTTTACAATGATAACCTTGAGACATTTCAAATTTTATTACAGAAGATAAAGTTTAATCCTTTGATTAAACTTTATTTATTTCTCAGATTGTTATTCAAATGTCAATATTTACATAATTTATATTAACTAATATATACCAATACCTTCACAAATATTAATAAATTAAGATTCCATAATTCTCTTTAAAAAAAGTTTTGTGAATAAACATATCTTATTTCACATTTCTTTAGGATCTTTTTGTTTGCTTGTTTTATTTATTTATTTTCATGTTGTGCTGGAGATCTGATTATGAAAGATACCTTGATTACAAAAACCGACCACAGATTATTAGGAAGAATAAATAAAATCTTTGTAATTAGCACTATGATTTGTTTTTAAGCAAGGTGAGCATGTTGGTCAAATGAATGAACTTGTATGGTTAGATAAATAAAACTTATTTCAGTTACTTATGCTTTATGATTTCATGCATGAAATCTACTTTAAATTATATGAAATCTACTTTAAATTATATGTTTTTAAGGCTCTGAAATTCACTCTAGTTTTCTGTTTTATACAGTATTTTGTAACTTACCATCTTTTTGGAAGTTTTGCTGCAAAAATGGTCAGAAACATTACAGATTTCACCTCCAGTTTGTGGTCAGGATCTCACTGAAATATTATAAAAAAGGATAAAATATTAATTTAGAATTAATTTGTTTTAAAAAATAAACCCTATTGTATTGTCTATTGGAATCAGTGACTAGACGATGTTTTTTTGGAAGAGTAATTCCAAAGTTGAAATTCAAGCAGTCATGGAGACTCAGATTAGAAAGGAAGACAGAAAAAATAATTAGTCTTTTAGATAAAATAGTGTATATTATAGTGTTTCTTTAAAATTGTTCACTTTTATTTGCTTAATTTTCTACATTAAAAAGTTATGACAGTAAACTAATTTTTACCATACTGAATTAAAAGCCTTTCATGTGTTAAACTCATCAAAATATTAATACACTATTTTGAGTGGACACCTGAAAAAATCAAAAATTCCTAAAATGTGGGGAAATGTTATGAAGTCTATCTTTCTTAAAGACAGTTATTTCTTTGCCCAAAGCATTTCATTTGCAGTCCATTAAATCAAATTCTAATAAAATTTAATGAAATCTCTCACACTCATGATTTTTCAACAAATAGAAAATTAATGAAACACTACAAGAGCTTATTTTTAGTTTATTTAGTAGTTCTAAATTTTAGTTTTGAGTACATATGGTAGAATACTTTAACACAGAAATTTTTAAGTTGTAAATCCCCATTTCCAATATATGTCTCTTTCCTGAGTGAAGCAATTTGACTTAGTGGAAAATTCATGAGGATAGGCCAATTACAAGAGTCTCATCCTAATGGAATTATTTAACTGCCTGCCCTCCTTTAGGTTTTTCTATGAGAGGATGGTTTGACTGTTGAGGAATAGTCAATGCAATGCAGAATTCCCCCAATGATGGAGCTTGTAAGTGAGAGATGGGGACATGGGTTTGCATAGAGAGCCCTTCTCTGAGTTACTCCAAGATAACTAGAACAGCAGTTTTCAGGCTGTGCCTAAACCTGAGTTACTCCATTTGTAAAGTAGTAGTTTGCCATAAACTATTGCATTTTGAGTGCAAATGCCAAGGAAGAATGATTCCATACCTTGTTGGTACAAGTAAACAACCCTGTGTTTCCAGTATGACCAGATCTCATCAGATGTGAAGTCTTCACTCAAAACCCATAAAAGAAGGAGCCTCCCCAAGACTGAACATAGTAGCACACTGACCCTGTCACCTGGTCACCCATCAGAAGGAGCCTTGCCTAGGTAAACTGTTACAGTGACAAACCTCTGATTTACTGTCTTCATTCAGCTTCAGCAGAGTGCAGTTTCCTCTTGCCCGTGATGACCACATATGGTCCTCTCCAAGTTGACACCTCAAGCTGATACTCTGGGACTGAAACTGCCTCAGTCTGAACTCTCCACTTTGGTAACTCTGAGGAAGTGGTTCTTTAAAATCCTTATCTAACAACCTACAGTGACTTTTTGACTCTGCATTCATATCTTTCTCTGCCTGTTCTCTTGGCACACCATCCTGTAACCCTTTCTTAATCTTTCTGAGACCTATTCATGCATTATTATGTGAAGTCTGACGTGCGACTTCAGTGTTATAGATTTTATAAATTAATATTGAAATAAAAGAACTTGTGTGTGTCCTACTTATGACTGTCAGCTGACCCACAGTATTCTGTGAACTGCCCCTGATGAAAGTGGTGTAGCTTGTGAATTTGTTGTTATTCAATAAATTCTGACATTGTGGAAGGACACAAACGTGTTTGTTTTGTTAGTGATATAGCTTACTCACCACAGTTTGGAAGAGATAATATGCTACCCACACACCCTTTCTTTTACTTCCTGAGTTTTCAAGTCCTTATCAATAATCATTTTAAGAAGTCATAATTCAGAGCATAAGCTTTAAATTCAGACATAGTGAATCTTTAGCCCAACTCTGTACCTCTTAGGGAAGACCATGGCTAAATTGCTTAACTTCCCTCTTAGAGCTGATGTGAAAATTAAAAGAGATAAGAAACTGTAAAGTGATTTAGGTTCCAAGTGTGTTTCTCAGAAACAGACCCTGAGGGGAAGGTTTGTATGCAAGTGATAATATTGAGAAGTTCTTCCTAGATAAAGCAAGTGTGGGTTGGGGGTTCAGGGAAGAAACCAAAGATACAACTGTAAAGTTCCACTGAAGGTAGCTTCTGCCCAATCTCATAAGCCAGGCCGTGGTGTAAATGTCATCCTAGAGTCATCCTGCTCTAGGCACAGGAGCTGGGGCTGCAGGACCCTGCCTGGTTCAGTCACTTGCCTTTTGCTTTGGGGTGAGGAGAACTTCCGGTTCTCTCCACAGAGACAAAGCAGCTCTGGGTGTTCTATGGCAGGCCTGCAAACAGAGGCTGGGATGGGAATAGAGGACAGGGCATTTGTGATCCGGATCCAGGTGGAGCACCAACAGTGTCTGGTACAATTCTATGTGGCCTTGGCAGGTAGGAAGCCCTCAGTATGTGTTAGCTCTTACTGTTGCTACATTATCTCTCCCTCTCATTTATTCTCTTAACGTGACGTGATAGTAACTTGACAGGGTTTAAGTGGGTCAAGATAACTCACTGAAGAATAGCTTGTGGATCATAAAGTAGTATGGAGATGAAGGCCATGACAGTGGGTAAAAGACTAAGGAGCTCTTATTACATAACCTATAGCAGGGATAATTTTCCCTGAGACTGTGGGAGCTGACCAGTAGAAATTTAAGGTGAAAATATAGAAACTGATGACGGTAGGGTCATGTGTGGCTGGCCCCAGGAAATAATGTCTTCTCACTCTAAGGCAGAAAATACCTTGGCAGAGAAAAGGACTTGCTCATGCCTTTCAAGCAGAGGGAAAGTATTATTTAAAGAGAGATCAAGACATGGTATTTTTATTAAATGTAAGATGTTGAAGCTACTTGACTAAGAAGAATTTCTAGAAGATCTTCTTCTCTACAAAGAAAAACTTAAAGGCATAGAAATGTGTATGACATGACTCTGTTCTTGTAAAACATGAACAAAAACTTCATGTATATATTGGTATGCATATAAATTGATAGTATTAGTCGTTCATATGTATATAGAAATAGTTATGTACCTAGCACTGCTCTGAATACTTTACATATACGATTGATTCATTTAAACTCACTGAGCCTATGAAATAAATACTACCATTATTATTCCTGCAACAGAGAAATTAAATGGCTTGAACATTCAAGGTCAAATTGTAGTAAATGTTGAAGACGTTTTTTAGTTACAGATAACCTGATTGCCTCTAAGTGTTATGGCAGTTGCCTGTAATTATATTATTATGGAGTCAGTAGCAGGAGGAAGCTTTGCCCTGATGACTAAACTTCATCACTCTTTTGCTGAGAACCACAACACTTTCTCTGTCACTGACATGCCAGGTGGCAAGGGTGTCCTACTCCTAGGGTTGGTTATTATGATGTTCATGCAGCTACCAACATCACCTGAACGGGAAGCATCTTCACTGTTCACCTTTGTTTCCCTACCCTTTGGTTCAACCCAAGTCCTTACTCTGTAAAACCATCATGCTATATGTCCCTGCTTACCTCCAGTTGACAAGGTGATCTAAAGAGTAAGCAGTCCTCCTTCTCTGAACTTAGACATTGCAGTCTTGCCAATAAAATGCATGTGTGTTCACTACATTATTACCAACAGAGCAGCCCTGAGGAGCCACTGGACTGGGGCAGCTCTTTTTAACTCATGACTTTCTTAGCAGCATATGGATTACAGTGGGACGGACATGTTCCTTCACACATGGAATGATTATTACTCTCTCCTTCTTTACAAGTTAGGGTTTTGCTTTTCTTCTCAGATTGAACAGGGATTTTTCCTTGTTATTATCTTGCAGGGGGAAAAGTGAGGTCCTAAAAGGTGAATAGGTAAATTAGAGAATGAATATTCCAAAATCCAAACATAAAATGAGGTGAAACTACATCTGTGGAAGGTGCTTCATTTCAGCACTGTTGTCAGAGGGTAGAGTGATTTCATTGGCACCATGGCAAACAGCAGCAGTTGATTCTGGTACATAAATTGACTATGAGCTAATGTATTTGCACAAGTGAAAATATTAATTTTAGAGATACAGGTAATCACATATGGTCAAGAAACAAAAAATATAAAATAGTATATGAATAAGTGATCCAAAAAGCCACATAGATTATTGCTTAGAACTGATAGAGTCATCCAACAAAGCATATTCAATACATAAATTTCACGATACAGCTGAATAATCCTTGTATGTTTTTCAATCAGAAATAAATGAAGATTATCAGAATTACTGATAATTGCACATATAATTTAAGGCACAGAAAATGATTTACAAAATCATTTATTAAGACATTAGTGGAGATTATTTATACATTTCATGATCAATAAAATGAATCCTCAATAAGATTATATAACTGATACACTAATGTGTATTCAACTTATTGTGATTTTATTGCTACATGTGAGAAGAACAACTGTATAAACTTCTTTTTTATATCTTCAGTAGTTAGCATTATACTTTACACTAGGTACACTTCAGTAGACTTCAGTAAATATTTGTTTCATATATAAATGAATAAATGCAATAATTCCGTTGAGGTATTTGAAAACCTTAGTATGTGTAGAAATGGTTAGAAAGGCAAATCAATAATGTACTACAAATGTTCATATTCATTTTTCTTGTTAAAAGAGCAGATAATTCTGCATGAATTGATATTAAGGTTTCAAAATGTAATTTACCACTTGGGGTTTCTAAAATTTTGTGTGTGTGTGTGTGTGTGTGTGTGTGTGTGTGTGTGTGTGTGTATAACTATAGGGATCATGTAAGTCTCTTTTTTTTCCTCTGCACTTCCTGAGATCAAACCCAGGACCTTGCATGTACTAGGCAAGTGTTCTTCTATTGACCTACAATCCCAGCCCAAGGCCTGATTTTTGTAAGACACATTATTTTGTCTACCTTTCACGAACTTCTGTTCATTGGGAACACTCATGATATGGACCGCTAAGTTTAAATATGTAATCAAGCTATTTTTCTATTTAGAACAGAGAAGAATTAA